TGTACTTGTGTACGTGCATGTGAGTATGTATGCATAATGAATGTATGAATGAATGTATGTATGTTTGTATGTATGCATGTATGTATGCACTTATGCATGTATGTAAGTAGGTATGCATGCATGCATGCTTACAAGTGAGTACAGACAGAAATAAATTTATATGCATTAATCGGACCATAAACTGAGATAAAAACGGTGATGGAGATGATGAAGATGATGATGGGGATGATGTTAATGTTGTTGATGATGAAGATGATGATGATGATGATGATGTTAATGTTGTTGATGTTGAAGATGATGATGAGGATGATAATAATATTGTTGATGTTGATGATGAAGATGATGATGAGGATGATGTTAATGTTGTTGATGTTGATGATGATGATGAGGATGATGTTATTGTTGATGTTGATGATGATTATGACGATGATGATGATGGCGATGGTGATGATGATGACGATTAAAGCAATATTTTTATTCTTCACAATAATTCCAACATGATATGTATCTATATATATACGCAAAAATACATATATTTGACAAAAATTTGTATGCACACACACACACACATACATACACACATACACACACACTTATACATATATATATAATATATATATATAATATATATATGTATATATATATATATATATATATATATATAAATAATGAAATTCTTTCAAATATATAACAAAAATTGAATTAAATATTTGTCACGCATTTACGGTTTACGCACATACATCCCATACACACACAAACACACACATACATATATACATACATACAAACATACATACATACATACACACATACATACATACATACACACGCATACAAACAAACCACAGACAACAAAATTTATACACATAAACATCATTAAATAAATCAAACACCCTCTATTTACTTAAATACCACACCCATACCTCTCCACTGCATACACTAATATCCTAGCCAAACTTATACCTATGACAAAGAATCATTACTAAAAAATACAATACAAAAATGTATACATATATTCACATACATACGTACGAAACGAAACGAAACGAAATGAAATTTTATTTGCTCCATAAAATTATTTTGCTCCATACTTACGTACCTACATACATACTGACATACATACATACATATATACAAAAAAAACAAACAAATATACAAACATACATACATGCATACATACATACATACATATTTTCCCTGGCTACTACAATAATGCTTATTAAACTCATCTTCCCAATTGCGAAAGCGGACTTACATCAAAATAACCTCAAAGTAAATTGCCTATACACATACATACTAAGACACACACACACAAGCACACACACATACATGCATACATACATACATACATACATACATACATACATACATACATACATACATACATACATACATACATACATACATACATACATACTTACATACAAACATACATGCATACATAATTTATACGGCTAAAGCAATTGGTTGATATTGATTATAGATATATCAATGTATCTAGCATCTTAGTCTTGTGTATCACTTAAGCAACAAATTTTTTTTACTCTGCCTTTTTTTTAATATATTTTGGTAATTTTCTCTCACAAAATAAACTATAATAATAATAATAACTTAGTAGGAGCAGTAGTAGAAGTAGCTGTAGAAGCAGCAAAAATAGTAGTAGTAGTAGCAGCAGCAAAAGTAGTAGTAGTAGTAGCAGTAGCAGCGGCCATAGTAGTAAAAGTAGTAGTTGTTGTTGTAGTATTTTGATTATATTAATTTTTCTTCTTCAATGAATAGCACGTTTTTAATTTGTTTCAATTGTTTTCCGAATATCTAAGACAGAATAATAATAATAATAATCGGCGTGGCTATCTTTGTGATCGAACTCGGCCACTGCTAAAAAAGAATCAGGCCCCTTAACCATTCGACCATGTCGTCTGCCTTTTAAATGATAAATAACTTTTTTTCATGTTATATACAGATGTTTAACACGTTAAATAACAAGCATTTTGCTATGTTGATCAATTTTTTATTCGATTCATTTCTCCATCAAATCTCTAGGTGACTATTGAAAAGAGTTCTGGCGTGTTTGTGTGTATGTGTGTGTATTTGTGTGTGTGTGTATGTCTATGTATAATAGCGGCGAACGAACGAACAAACGAACGAACGAATGAGTGAATGAATGAATGATCGAACGAACGAACGAACGAATGAGTGAATGAATGAATGATCGAACGAACGAACGGACGAACGAACGAACGAACGAACAAACGAATGAGTGAATGAACGAACAAACTAAATGAATGAAATGTTACAACTGGAGAAAATGTAATAAATATGAAAAGGCAAGGAAAACATGCTATTCAGATAGATTGGATCGCAGCGTGCCTTTACTCTCCTAAACTCGATTACCTCAAGATACTTAAGATTGGATTTAGATACGTAGTATCATTATCTGTTACTGAACTAGAATGGTGTAGCGCGAGATTTTTGGAACGTGGCGTTAATATAGTAAATTAAGTTAGTAGATTTTTTTTACTAGATTCATGTAGTAATCAATTTCTTGAGAATGAAAATGTATTATTTGGTAGTTAAAATCCCGACGTTTTTGCTATACGGCATCTTAAATCGATCCGATAATTATCATTGTGAACTACATTCGATCTTGTGGCACTCATGTAGCAAATTATGCTAGAAGTTTGTTACTAGACTCATGTTAAGCTTAATCTCCTGAAATTAATTTATAAAGGTGGGCATGAAAATGTACACTTTGGTTATAGGAATACCGATACTTTTGGTAACATAGTATCTTGAATCGATCTAAGTTATGGCTATGAGTTACTGAGCAACATACTCTTGTCTATAGTTCGATTTTTTGTGTGTGAATGTGGTGCTGGTATGGTAAGTGAAGTTGTTAGTTTGTTTCTGAACTCATGTGGCGAATGATTTAAAATTCACAAAAATTTCTGCAAAAATCGCCAGAGTATCATTTCGATTAAGTTGCTCGGCTGGGACGAGAGAAAAGTTGTGTATATTTTTCTGTATAAGAACGCGTTACCGCACAAGTTATATTATCAGAAGAGAAAACATTTCAAAATGACGATTAATGATTAATAAATAGAAATGCATATGAAACCATGAACAACTATTACGTCATCCTTGATGTAATCAACGCAGAGATGAGTGATGAATTAAGACGATGATGACGACGAAGATGACGATGATGATGACTGCGGCCTCGATGATGATAAAGATGATGACGACGACGATGACGACGACTTGACAGCCAGCCGCCATCGTTGGAGTTACTCAGTGTTAGGCAAGTATTTCATTTGAGCGAGAGAGTCACACCACACCAAATCGCATCATGTCATGTCAGTCATGCACACAGCCATACAAGTGAAACATCACACACTTACGTGGATGCATAGTGCACGCACATACACACGCACGCATGCATTAATTCACTTGTATTGCATGCGTTCATGCATCTTTGCATTCACACCTAGATACATACATGCATACAAAGGCACACATACATACACATAAATATACATACACATAAGCGGACCTACAAGACTGAATTGGGATGTATAAATGAACTACATTTGTATGTTGTATGTGAATAAGTGTGCTTGCATTTTTCAGTTGTAGGCTGTTCTGCGATAGTTTGTATCATTATTTGTATGTGTGTGTGTGTGTGTGTGTTCGTACGTGGGTGTCTGTGAGTGTGGACGTTCATCAGTGTATGTGTGCGTGCATTCATTAAACTTTCATGGCCACAATTTTTACACGAGCACATGAATTCGGTTAATAAATTCGACCCAGATAAGAATTTTTGTCCTAGTTGCTTCAACTCAGCCAATAGCGTCGCTCAACGTGACCTTCGCGCTATTTTTGCCAGCCAATCAGAAGAGTGTTTATAAGAAATATCTGAGGGGAAGTTTCAAAATGTCAAAACTCAGTTTCGTGAGGCACAATATATGTTTCGTATGCAGTTTATCCTGCGTGTGGTTTCATTTGTAACGTCCTAACAGTTTAATTTGGTGAATGGGCGCTTGCATCATATAAAATAATACCTACATACATACATACAAATATGCATACATACATCACATACTTGCATAGATAGAGACCAATGTCTACCCAACTACATACAAACAAACAAGCATTTATGCCTTGAGAAAAAAACCAGCAAAAAACCGTCGGTTATCTATGAATATGGCTTCGTTGGTATCAGTAATTAGATAGCTGTGACCTAAAACTCGCCGGCTCGTAACTTTTTTTGGAAAATATTTTTTCGCAGCAGTTTATAAGTAATGAAAAAATATAAAAAAACATTTAATTTTAAAGATGAAGTAGGAGTAAAAGAGAGGAAGAAAGAGAGAGAGAGAGAAAGAAAAAGAAAAAAAAGATAGAAAGAGAGAGAGACAAAGGGAAAAAGAATGATCTTTTAATCAACAAGTGATGGAAACTCAGTTGAGTTGGTAGGGCGTGTATAAATTGTATGTATATACGTATGTATGTATGTTTGAACGTATGTATGTTTGTATGTATGTATGTATATGTGTACATACCTACGCCATAAATTAGCTCTATCTGTGTTAACTAATGTTATCTCAGCTAGGTTTTTTTGTATCAGGATATTTGTATGTATATATAGGTATGTGTGTTTGCTTGTGTGCGTGTTTGTGTGCGTGTGTGTTTGTAAGTATGAATTTTGTTTACGCATATTTTTATATTAAACTATTTTCATATAAAATTCCTATGCCTATTCATACTTACACACATGTGTGTTTGTACAAACACGTGTGTGTGTGTGTGTGTGTGTGTGTGTGTGTGTGTGTGTGTGTGTGTGTGTATGTGTGAGAAAATTTTCATGTTCTCGATTCAAAGCACACGATTTATCAAATGCGTTCTATTCTCCTTTTGAGGTATGTATGACAGCTTTTTTGAAATTTAAAACATTCATGCTGCGTGTGCGTGCGTGCGTGTGTGTGTTTGTTAGAAATGTGTGTGTGTATGTTAGTTTGAGTGCGGTGCATGTGTGAATTTGTTTGTTCGTTCGTTGATTTTGTATGTAAGTGTGTATGTGTATGCATGTATGTTACTTGTTTTGTGTTGCTATGTATGTGTAGATGTATTAATGTACACATGTATGTATATGTGTATGCATGTGTGTCTATGTAAGTGTGTGTATGTGTCTGCGTGAATGTATGTGCGTTCTTGCGTTAAATTGCAATCTTACTTAAAAAATTTGTATACAACAAGCAGTAATCATATTTTGTTAAGTTAGCAAACTTAGTTAAAATCACACACACGTATGCTAGCAAAGAATGAAGTGAATGTTACATAATAATATAACAAATAAATAACTTCTGAGATGTACCTTAGTATGTATGCGTGTGAGTGTGGGTGTATGTATGCATGTATGTATGTATGTGTGTGTTTTTGTAGGGTTACACATGCATGTATGTGTTTATATGTGTTGTGTATGCATATATATGTATGTTTGTATGTATTTGGACGTGTAGGTAGGTATGTTTATCTGTATGTATGTATGTGTATATACATGTATGTGTGTGTCTGTCTGTATGTATATAGGTCATGTGCCATATTCAAGTTTTATAAATAGCAGCGGTTGTAGTGTGGCAGGTAGCAGCGGCAAGTGGCAGTAGCGTTTGTAGTAGTTGCAGCAGTGGCTGTAGTAATAGTAGTAGCAGTAATGAATGAATGAATAGACGGATGAATGAATGAATGAATGAATGGATGGATGGATGGAGGGATGGATGAATGAATGAATGAATGAATGGAGGGATGGATGGATGAATGAATGAATGAATGAATGGATGGATGGATGGATGAATGAATGAATGAATGAATGAATGAATGAATGAATGAATGAATGAATGCATTAGAAAATATGAGAAAATGAACATATATAGAACAATATTGTAAACAGATTAAAACATATACGAAAAAAATGTAGAAAAATCAAACAAACATTCATTTTAGAATGAATGTTTCAAACCAACCAGTCCATAAACCAGACCAGCCGTTGATTAATCTTAACCTAATTTCAATTTTTAATGATAACTGAAACTTTTTTGAAAATTCAAAACGAAAGCTTCCTTTGATCACACACACACACACACACACGCCACACACACACAAACACACACCACACACACACACACACACATACGCCACCCATCTTCACGCACAACTAACTCATTCCATAACATGAGCTAGTAAGTGAGTCATTTAGACATGAACGAGGGAAAGATGAAAGATGATATGATAGAGTAGATAGATGAGTAAATAAATTAATTTTAATCGGTTAGGGTTTAACATCTAATTAACGTAGAAAAAATCGGAAAAATAAACTGTGTGTGTGTGTGGTGTGTGTGTGTGTGTGTGTGTGTGTGTGTGTGTGTGTGTGTGTGTGTGTGTGTGTGTGTTTATAAGCTTCATATTGAGGTGAGAAAGCTTATAGATGTCTTCGTGGTTGGCTATGACGTATGAATGACACTTCAGAAAAACATTTCGTTTCGCTGGAATTTAAAACATTTTTGAATGAAAATGTCCTAAAGATATAAAACTACGAAAAAATTGACTGTGTAAAGTATTGAAATATTGGAGTTCATTGAAAAAACCTCTTACAAACTTCGACGGAAACCCAATCTCATCTGAAGCAATCAGCCAGCATTCACCTTAACAATCCACTCCAATTTTAGAATTACAAACATAACTAATTAGAGAATGTAAGCGAAAGTTTAACTACAAACGTCTTCAAATGGTATTGAACGCATGGAAAACGAAAATGAAACCACAAAATAATCAAAGATTAATATCATGAAAAATCAAACGCTAAAATTTTGGGTATAGATTTTTAACAAAAGCCACAAAAATAACAATAACAATAATGATTATTATTTTATTAATATTATAATAATAATAATATTGATAATAACAAAAAGTGGTTGGAATGATTGAAAATATGAAAGAATGGAGGAAAAAAATGGAGCTAAACAGACAGACTGAAATAAATTTACCTTAAAAAATGTATCTCAAAACAGATGCTAAGAATAATAATAGCAACAACAACAACTACACCAACAACAATTATAACAATAATAACAACAACACAACAACAAAAACAATAATAATAATAACAATAAACAACAATGACAATGATAGTAATAACAATAGGAATAAAAATAAGTCGACCTCTTAAACCAATTGACACACTTTTTATTATTATTATCATTATAGTTCTTCTTCCTCTTTCTTATTCTTCTTCTTATTATTGTTGTTAGTATTATTGACGATATTTTTTTCTCTTTTATCAACATACATGCATGCATAATTAAGGGTGAAAATGACGATGATGATGTAAAAAAAGTTATTATTCAATGTTTTTGTTTGTTTGCTGTTTCAGTTCTTTTGGTTTCAGGCGTGGGCTGGTGTTGATTGGTCGGCTGGCTGGCTGGTTGGCTGGTTGGTGGCTGGTGGCCAGATTGGCTGGCTGATTGGTGGTTGGTGGGCTGATTGGCTGGTGATGGTAGTTGGTGGTTGGCTGGCTGATTGATTGGCTGATGATGATTGGTTGGTTGGCTGGTTGGCTGGTGGTTGTTGGGTCGATGGTTAACTGGCTGATGATGATTGGCTGGCTGGTTGGTAGGCTGATTGATGGTTCGCCAGTTTTGATTGGTTGTTTGGTTCTTCCACATTTTTTATTCACGACGATGATGATGGTAATGATGACTATGCAGTAATAGAAGTAAAAGAAAAAAGAAGATGATGATGGTAAAGTTAAAGTAGAATAAGAAAAGGATGACGAAGATTATGAAGATGGTGGTGAGGATAATTGTGTATGGTGATCATCGAGATAGCGATGGCGATGATAGCCACAAAATTTAAAAACCAATCAAACACACACACACACACACACACACACACACACACACACACACACACACACACACACACACACACACACACACACACACACACTGAAAGAAAAGTAAAAATAGAACAAAGATAGAATGAGCAAAGAGAGAGAGAGAGAGAAAGAGAGTGAGAAAGAAAGTGTAAAAAACCAGATTCTTTGCTTCCACTGCAGCTCTTTACCATCAAAGTTAATAAATTCAGAGTGCAAAATTAACTCGTTAGATCATTTGCTTAATTTTTAATACTTGACTAGTCACCCACGCAAACAAACACACACTAACGTACACAAACACACACACACGTAAACACACATACACACACACACACACACATTCATGCATACACACATTTGACACATTCATAAACACATCTGTATGTTTGTGTATATGCATTTTACGTATTTAATGGATAACGATGGCCTAAGGTTCAATGCAACCAAACCTAAAACTTTTGAAAACATTCATTGGCCGGTTTACGTCATAATGTTATTAAAATTGATTATAATGAAAACGCCATAATAATTATACTATTACTGATGAAATGGTTCTATTATAATTAGCGCTATACAAATGTTAACAACAATCAGGTATACATACATGCATCCACACATAAACGACATTCTGATAAAAATGTAAAAGAGTTGATTACTAAATAATTTTGATTCCATTTTTAGTTTTTTTAGGATTTGTAATTTGAATGTGAGTTTACATGCACGAAAATATTTAAAATAAGCTCTCTTTTTACAATCGTCACTGGCAATCATTACAAGAAAACCACATCTTCTTTTCGATTTCCAGATTATTTCTTTTCAGTTTTCATTGATATCATTTCTTTGATTTCTTTGTTTTGGTTTGATAAAATAAAAAAAGTCAAAAAAATGTCAAAAAAATGCTAAACATACCTACATACACGTACATACATAATACATACATATATAAACACCTACATACATACACACATACACACCTACATACATACATACACACACACACATACATATATACAAACATACATACATAAAATACATACATACATGTTGTTCACACAAGTTATTTCTCAAGTGTTTATTACCA